CAGTGATGCTTCTGCTCGTGGACAGCTCCACAATTCAGTGTCCCATGCAGTAGGAGAAGGAACAGAGAATATGTTACTCATCCTCTCAGAAGATCTGATTTGCAGGAAACAAAAAAAAAAACCCCACCATAAATTTTCAGGGCACCACAATACTGTGATGCTCCCCTGGAAGGCAGAGGAAAACTTTCTACTCTGCTTCTGCGCTTCGAGTGAACTCATATTTGTGTTTCCAATAAAGAGCCATTTTTACATTAACTGTCTGGAACAGCAGGGAATAGGAAAACTAACACAATCTTTACCTCGTACAAAGGATGATACTGGTGTCACGTGCTTGCTTCTTCAAAAAACGTTATTTATAAAAGGCAACGAGGAATGCAGGGAAACTATTGACTCTTCTCTGCTATCCCTGCACGAGCAGCATTACAGCAACTTTTTGATCCCCTACATTTTTTACATTTTTCCCCCCCGAGAAGTAAATTTCACAGCCACACAGGCCACCGCCTTTAATTAAGCTTTCAAAAGTCTTCTGACAATGCCAACAATTGCAAGACACTTCTAGAGCTCAATCATGCAATCATCGTGACACTTCTATTTACAATTTGTCTTAGAAAGAGTTTCTCTGACATTGTACTTTGACAAAACAGCCAAGCTGCCGGTTCACAACCTTTCTCTGTCTTATTTACAAATACAGCTTGTACGCAGTGCTCCAAATCTTGGGAGCAGGAGCCTTTGGGTTGCACCCTCACTATTTTTTCCTGCCTGCAATATTTTACCCAGCCTGCTCTCTCTGTTTCTTTGTATGGGGAAAGCAGGCAGAATTTGACTTCAAAATCTTCCCACATTCCTTCTTCCCCTCCTCTATCTTTAAGCTTTCATCTTATTGTCCAGATGCAATGCTAATTATTCAGTGCAGACAGCAGTATTTTTTTTGTCTCCAGAACAAAACAAAACAAGGAATCGAAAATCACAACCTATAGAATTATAACGGCAACTACTAATAACAGCCCGAGAAAATTTCTGCTTAAAGACATTACCTCCCAAGAACTGTAATAATCAAATAGACTCAGTCTGAAATTTAGTAGGAAATGATGTTCACCTTTCCCTGACTGCAGCAGACAGAGGGATTTCTTACATTATTTTCCCACGTGTTTTGTTTGAATGTCACAAGCAGCTCGAGAATATAGGATTCAAGCAGTAAAAATGACCTCCCCTCCTCCTCCCCTCTTTGTACAGTAAATACAAGATCCACGGATCCACACTCGGCTTTATACAGGGGAATTCACAGCAGCACTCCGAAGTGTTCCCCCAACTGCATCCAAGTAACATTTAAGATCCTTCTTCACCCAAACCCCAACCCTTCATTAATTCCCTCGGATTTATACATTCAACAAACAAACCTCCAAAACCTGACACGGGCGGGCGATAAATATTTCCTCGGCTTTTCAATAAGTGAACAGCGATTTTACATTCACTGATCTCCAGATACTTCAGTTAATATTTCCCCCTACTGTAAAATACGAGAGCGGATAACTAAAGCCCTGCCGTCGCCCTCACTGCAAATCACGGGCTGCCGGTATCTGGTGGTGAGGCTTTGACATACATATTGATGAAAGCTGCCTCGTTGGACCCACACAACATATCCTATTAATTTTCAGTTAAATTTATGGCATTTCAGCTCCAGTGCTGGATCAGCATCACTCAAAATTTTATAGCAAGGCAGAGCTGTGCACAGGCAGACACCCACATGGAAGAGCCAGGTACGGACACATGCCTGCACCTATGTGGACCCCACGGCTGCTGCACAGGTTGCACACACACACACACATATATATATATATAAATATATATGCTCCTGTCCTCACTCCTGTCTCTGGAAAACAAGAGCAAGATAAAGAGCAGCTTAAGGACAGTTAAAACAGACAGTATTTCTCCCTGCATTTGAATGAGTCGCTGCCTCCTTCCTCCTCTGTGGATCTTTAACCACTACTTAAGGTTCTCTTTTACTGTAGCACCCCAACTTACTGACTACAAAACTGCAGACAGGGAAAAAAACTGCACCTGGAGCTCACCCACAGCACCTCTGTATCCAGGGCTAACCTGGAACACCTCTTCTGGCCTCACAACTAATTTGGAACATTTTTATATTGCTAGAAAATATGTATTTTATGGTCCCGTAGCAGAAAGAATCACTTCCCCAACTTCTGTGTATTTTTCCAAAGGCGGCCTCTATCTTTTTTTTTTCCTCCTTAATTACACACTCAAATATTGCATTTAGCATTCTTGCACAGAAATCAGATATAAACAGCTGAATTAGAAGAGTTTGAGGTTCTTTGCAGGGACCTTCCTGAAGCCTGAACTTCTCAGCTCAGCCTCCAAGACCCTCACTGGAAATTTTACTGCCGGACTCCAACTACTGGCTACGAGCAATGGGTCACTCCAGCTATCACCACACTTCCTTGTGACAAGAGAGAGCTGAACTCATACAGCTGAAAAGGGAGATGAAAACACAAAGAGGAGGACCACTGCAAGACCTCATAACTCTTGGTGCACCTTCTCCCTTTCCCAAAGCCAGGCTGCATTTCCAACCAACAGGAAGAACCAAGGGACCCCAGCGCTTCTCAGCTACAGCCCAGCCAGGGAAGTGCAGAGAACCCACATTGTTGGACCTTCCACCCACAAAGGTATGGCTGGGCACCACAGCCAGAAACCTTTGGGCAGAAGATTCCTGACAACCACAACTCCATCTCTACTCAGGACACACTCACAGCTTGCTCTATGGACCCTCCTGACACGGCACTGGGCCTCCTCCCAGTCAAGCCCACCAAGCGAGCAGAATCAGGCCCTGCCACTGTGCCCCTGTCCCCAGCCACCTCCTCCACTCAGTGAAGCATTTACAGTCAGTTAAAACCACGGCCCTTTCTGAATTAACGGCCCCGTGACGGTGCGCGAGCCCAAATCCTCCTCGCTTCGCGTCACCTGCGCCATGCGAAAGCCAGACTTGGCTCACTGAGCCTCCCGTGCGCCAAATGAGTGCCAGAGCAAAGCCCTCAGCAGAGGAGGTTCCCGTCCTGCAGAACTCCTTGGCATGGCCATCCCTCCGGCCCAGGGACCAATCTGGGACCACAGGGACGACAGCATGTTTAATTCTTGCTTGACAGATACTGTGTTTTGTCTTTTGAGCGGAGCGGCGCCGTACGTAAATACTGCGTTACATCATACCGCCGCTCCTCCATATTTGGTGATTTAGTATGGCTCCAGAGCTTGGAAGACTACAAATCCCTTCCGCCAGGCTCCTGCTTCATTAATCATGCCCTACACTTCTGCTCGCTTTCCGTCAGATCGCAGGCAGCACATGGAAATGGGCACTGCCCTCTACCACTCTGGGAAAGAAACCTCACCTTTAACATCCGTGTCTGGTGGGGAATTATTGGGAGGGGGCTAAGGCTCATTCAAAATGTAGCTTAGCAGTAGCTGAGCCCGTGTTTCCCCTTAAATGCAGAGATATTGGCGTTTCGAGGAAAGACCGATTACTCTGCAGAAACAGCACATACTTGTTGACATGACGTCTGCGTGTGCACGCACATGGCTCTGCACACAGACACGTGCGCAGGCAGACACCCGTGCACCGATACGGATCTGCTGCCACCACAAAACCTCCAAAACTGCAGCTCTCCAGCACAGTTTGGCAGCCGGCTTGAAGGCCAGGGAAGACTGCGGGAGGATCCCGCTGAACCTCCCAGTGCCTACTGCCCTATTATGGTTTAACTTTGTGGCCAAAGCAAGCCCAAGACAAGCTCCAGCACATCATGTGATGATGTACTGCGCCTCCGACAACCCCGAGCGGTCCTGTGGGCTCCCCGAAGAGAGGCACCGGCAATGCCACATCCCAAACACCACTGGAGGGGGAGTTTGAAACCGGTTCAGGCGTTCGTTGGGGTTGATACGCTGCGGTCTCGCCTTTTTCGACTGGCAGTATTGGCGTGGTTCGAAGTGATCTGAAACGCTCGCTGCAAATGGGCGGTACTTTTGTTTACTAGTAGGGTTTTAAAAGCAGAGCGTGCCTTGTTACACTCCCAGGGTTCGGGGATTTTCTTTTGCATGGTACGCTTCTATTTTTTTAACCCCATTTGTGAAAATATCTGCATGGCCAATGGCTTTCTGATTTTTTTATTTTTTTTAAAATTATGCTATGAAATGGAATTATTTACCCTTTTCTCTTTTTTTAAATTACATTTCATATTGTTTGTTGCACAAAACAGGACTCTGCTTTGGACATTTGTACGGCTGACATGTGGTTGTGTAAACCGCAAACAAAATCAAGATACATCTGTCAAAACCACATCAGAGACAAGAGAGAGCACAGCGAAGCATTTATCATTTGGCTGAGGAGGCAGGCTGCAGAGAGCAGCCTTTCCTGTCAAACCAACCTTTTGAAATTTCCAACATGCCCTTAAACTTTTCGAATAAGCATGTCTGTGCGCTTCAGCAACTGCCCTCTCTACTCTGGCCTGGCCAGTCGAAAATGGCATCTTAAAGTCAAGGTCGGTGGTGTCACTTTGCCATGGGGCTGTGTTTAATTACAGTCCATACGCTGACAGCCAATATGGAACCAAGGCTGGCGGATGCTCGGTTAACTCTTTCACTCCTGACTTTGCCAAATACTCAAAAGCTCCTCGCTTTCTCGCGCGGCAGCCTCAGAACCCTCCTCCCACGGCGCTCCGGCAGGCGACACCGGGAGACGGTGACTACAATGCAGGCAAATCACGAGAGTGGCCTCAAACAATACGGCCAGAAACACCGGCTGGCACGGCACGTGCCTGTTGCTCCTGCCGCTGCGCAGGCACCAGGAAACACCGCTAACCCGAGGCAGGCAGGGCATGGACACCCCGGCCGTCACGGCGAGCAGAACACACAGACACGGCAGCGCACGACTGCCAACATGCTACATTGCAACTGAAACGGAAATCAACTCGCAAACACTTCTCCTTGCTTTAATTTACCTGCTATATGTTCCTGTTTAGGGCAAATTCCTCTAGATGACGTTGATAAACAATCGTCATCCTCTGGCGTAACCTGGATGCCAACCTCCACGGGATTGGATGCTTTTTTCAGCTCACTTGGTGAGGGTGAAGGTGGCTTATCCACAGCCTTCTCTAGGCAGAGACTGCCATTGCATTGTTTCCGTTTGTGCTCAATAAAAATAAGAATGTCCCCCAACGGAAAGTTCATCTGACACTGGCCACAAGTGAGGAGGTCGTGGTCCCCTTCTGGAGCTCCCAATGTGCCATGTTCAGGTTCGTCATCAGTGAGAATGGCTTCAAGAGGTTCGGCTGCAGTTTGAGAAACAAAAGGAGAATGGTTAGAGCTCTGGGGAAAGGCACCGGGCGCAGGGGGGAGGAACGCACCGAGCCCCTTCTTCATGAATATTACACCCCGCTCCGGAGTCTGCCTGCTCCCCCCCAACCAAATCCATACAACACGGCTGTCAGCACGGCACCGAGGACAGGGATTCATCAGTTACAGGGAAGAGATTCTGCAGGAGCAGCTGTAGCATGCAGAACTCGGAGGGCAAGCACCGCAACTGTCTCCGTGTTCCTACACGAGGGCACATTTCTGACTCCTTGAACGATTCGGTGCTAAAATTAAATGGATAGGCCGAAAGAATACACTGCAAAACTCTTGTGGTAGTACGACAAGAAGGGAATATGGTGTTTTATTGCTGAATGTATTATTTATGTACATGAATTCAAGGCTAAAAGCACTGCACACACTCTCACACACATGGGTGTGTATCTTCCACCAGCCAGACCCACTTTCTAAAATTCAAAAATGCAGCGCAGACAGAAGGTGTTCCAATACACACAGACGCTGCACGTTCCCCGCACAGGCCGTGCAGGTAACGTGTGCATGTGTGTAAAAGAGAAGAGGGGGAGAGCCAGCCTGCATGGGCACACACCCAGGCACCGACACGCAGGGCAGACACGCAGCGCTCAGAACGCACGTGCAGACGTAAACGCACGGATTTGTGTCACTGTCCCCATCGGCCCATTTGCAGCTTCCAATTTAAAAACAAATCCTAAAGGCAGGAGTTATACACCCGAGGGGGGGGAGAGAAAGGGGAGGGTATGAGGCAAATAAATAAATAAATAAGGCCGAAAACCGAAATGATAAAAAGCAAGTGCAGCAGAAATGCCTGCGGGGTGGGGGGAGGCACCTCTCACTTTTGAGCTACTCCTCGGGATCCAAATAAACAGCAAGTTCAACACCAAGTCCACTCAGAGATATTAGCTGGGATATTTTTTAGTACTTAAGGAAATAAGGCAATCAGTCATTTTGCATTTTTTAATCCTGAAATAAGCGAATGCCTAAATTATCTTGAACATGTTAGCACTGGTGGCCTTCAGCATCTAAAAATCAGCCTGGCCAAGCAGCTGCCACATTTCCTCACAACAGTGAGAAGCGCCTTCTTTAAACTCAAAATACCTTGCCTAATGTTGTCAAAGTTGACAAATTTTCTGAATGAGCTCCAAAAAGCTTCATTATGAGGCTATTTCTGCTCACAGAATCGTCAGTGGATGCTCTAACGAGGCAGACTCGGCTCTCTTTTCTGTTGTTTTTTTTGTTGGTGGTGGTTTTTTTTATTACATTACATTTGCAGAGAAATACCTTGGCAATCTCTGTGCAGTCTCCATCCCCACTGTCTTTCACGAGGGGAAAAAAAATAAATACCAGCACCGTGTCGGTGTTCCTCTGTCTGCGCAACACAACAGGCACGCTAACAGCAGCGAGCAGGAGAGGGTACTACAAATACAACCCACCTCAAAACACTGCCAGGTAACGCAAGTGAGACAGAATACAACTCCTAAACAGTTAATCAGCCTGACCTTCTTTAGTTGGCTGCCAATTTCACATTTAATGAACTTAAAGCCACAGAGAATCAAAAAATAGATTTTAATTTGACTGCACAATATTGGAACTGATTTTGATAAAGTGCAAAAATCCAGTGAACTCAGGTTAAATTTATTTCAACCCTACCTAGGCTGAATATTGAGGAGGAAGATCTGGAGTAGCTCCCAGTTGTGCTGCGTAAAATAATATTGAAAGAGCACACTACCTCACCGTACCTCAGCTCCAACTAGGACACAGGGATCCAGTCCATCATTTCTTGCCTCTAGTACTACTTCTAATTTAACGTAAGGTCAACCACAGGAATATGAAGGTTACATTCGTATTAATAAAAACAATGTCTTAATCGCTGGGGCTTTCTTCTAAACTTGCAGACCGACAGGAGAGGAGGCACAACGTGCGTCTCACGCTCCTCGGGAAGCCGGCAGAGGAGCAGGGTGTTTCTGCGGGATTGCCGGGCATGGCGTTTTTCTCCCCAAGCCGTTCCTTGCGTTGGGACCGAAGGGAGTAAATTATTGCAGGACTAATTCCACCGGTAGCTCGCTGCACGCCGCAGACAAAGGTATTTTGCGAATCTAACTTCGAGCTCACCGACTCTCGGCAGCAAAGAGACACAAAACCACCCGTGTTCCCCTTGCAACTGGCTTAGCGAGGAGCTCTGCATAATCATCACTCAATTATAATGTTTTCCCGCGGCCTGATTCCTTTCTGACGCTGTCACTATTATTTAGCAGGGGAAGGTAACCCGCTGCTTCCACACCAGACAGTTAAAAGTGGCACTGAACAAAAATAGACTTTGCTAAAAGTCTGTACAGACTGGGCTGATTTACAATCAAAACCAGGAAATGAAGTGGTAATTCAGAGGTTGCTGATTACACCTCCACATTTCACCTAATTAATTTTATAGGAGGCAAAGTTCTTGAAAATAACAAGATGATCAAATGTACAGATATAAAACCTGTAACCTCAACATTTTCTATGCTCTTAACGTAAATTATTGCTAATTAACAAGAATTATATACTAATGTATGAAATACGGCTGGCACTGTGTTCGCTGCAAAACATTTGGCTCCTGATGGAGGCAGAGCCAGCAAAAAAAAAATATGCTTTTTATTATTACTGCTACTTTTAGAACATAATATAAAATACCGGGATTACAAAGAAAAACCCAGAATACAATTCACCTGGTCTTGCCTCCGATTTGCAGGATGCATCTTTTAATTCTGGGGCAATCAAAATTCCCTGCCTGGGTCCCTAATCATCCGTCTCTATTTTTCATGCAAATTGCCCTTCCACCAACATGTCTTTTCAGCTTTCCCCCTTCGCCCTCCTAGTCCCCCCTTCTTCCCCCGGTTCCCAGCCACCAAAACAACCGCACCGGCAAAAGCGGGATGGATTTTGGAGTGCCGGGAGAAAGGAGGTACTGGGGCCGATGGGGCGGGGAAGGGGGGTGCCACAGTACGGTGAGGAGAAATGCCCGCGGGGCAATGCGGATGCGCTGCTGGGGCATTTCCCCGCACCGTACCGTGAGGAGGAGGAAGGGCTGCGTAATCCCAAGTTTGTGTCTTCGGATCGTGCGGTGCAAGGAAAGGGAGACTTGGGGGTACAATGGGAACCGCCAACACGTTATGGGGAGGGAGGGGAAACCCGGGGAGGGGGAAGGCGAGCATCCCCCGCTGCCTCCCGGAGCAAGCAAACTCCGCGCAAAATTAAGAACAAAGAAGAA